GTTCTCTAATTCAGCTGCTTAGAGTGACCTCTGGCATTGTAGTCTGATTTCCATTTTACCTTGCTCTTCTCTGTCTCCAAAATTGTTACTTTCTAGCTAACATCATGACATCATGATTCCATCCTTGTCAGCCTTTTCAACCACCTGCCTTCATTTTGGCATGTAACTTTTGGTTGGTCAAGTGGGAATACAGAGCACTGGATTTCTGAAAGCATGACTAGTCCCGCAATAGTACACATTTTCTCAGCATCACTTTCACAAACACTACTTTGACATAGCTTAAGCTGTAGTGCCCTCAAGCAAATTAGCAGTTTTGCAAAATAACATCAACTTTCAAGTCAAGTCACCTTTATTTATATTGCGCTTTTAACAATACAGATTGTGTCAAAGCAACTTCACAGTATTAAATAGGAAAATAGTGTGTAGTAATGCAAAAGGACAATATAGTAAACACTATTGGATGTCATCATCCAGTTCTGTTCAGTACAAATAGTATCTGTGCAGTCAAGTTGACGATATATCGCTGGAAATTAAGTGTCCCCAACAACGGCGGCAAGGAACCAAAACTCCATCTGTGACAGAAATGGAGAAAAAAAACCTTGGGAGAAACCAGGCTCAGTCGGGGGGCCAGTTCCCCTCTGGCCAGACGAAACCAGCAGTTTAAAGGGATCATATGATGCGATTTCAATTTAGCCTTTCTCTTTGGAGTGTTACAAGCTCTTGGTGCATAAATAAGATCTGTAAAGTTGCAAAGCTAAAGTCTCAAATCCAAAGAGATATTCTTTATAAAATTTAAGAGTCAACCACACCCTCCTAAAACGGCTCATTCTAACACGCCCCCACGTGTCTACATCACGATGTGGGAAGATTTGCATAACGCCGCCCAAATGTTCACGCAAAGAGAGAAGGCGTTAACTTTTATTCTCGCTGTTGCCGCCGCTGCCATGTTGTGGAGTCGCTGTGTGTTTCGTTGAGAAAGCGAAACTACTTTGTTTGGCCTTCCAAAAGAGGACACAACTAGAAATCAGTGGTTAAGTTGTATTTACAACACTGTTCCAGAACAGTTCAACCCAAATATTCAGATGTGTGCTGCGCATTTTATGGAGGATGGATGAGGACTGTTTCCTGAACCAGTAGCCAAATGCGTCTGTGGCACAAAGGCTGTTTCTATAAAGTTGGGCAGTTCCAACTTTGCAAGGACAGTCTGGCGCTTCTGACATATAGCCTGTAAGTAAGTTAATTTTATTTAAATAATTTGCCAGTGATGATTCAAACGCGAGTTCACCAAATCGAACTGAATCGTTTGAAATGGTTCACGTCTCCAGTACGCACTAATTAACAAATTACTTAAGTTATTCGGTTTATAAATGTGCCTGACACTCCCTCTGATGCGAAATAAACCAATATCCCAAGCTATTCAGTTACTCCTAACAGTACATTGACTGAACTGCTAAAAGAGAACCGATGATGGGATGTGCACGAGCAGAGCAGCTGGACTGAGTCTCGTCCTGCTGGGAGACGGCATCACAGTATGTAAGGGGCGTAATATTTCCGTCACATGCTTAAGGCATTCGGCCAATCACAACGCACTGGATAGCTGGCCAATCAGAGCACACCTCGCTTTTTTAGAACGATGAGCTTTGTAAATATCGACGTGTTTCAGAAAGGCAGGGCATAGAAGAGAAACAATAATGCACATTATATGGAAAATAATGTTTTTTGAATCTTAAACCGCATAAACACATTGCATTACACCAAATACACAACATAATGTTCTTTTTAGCAACGTCATTTGACCCCTTTAATTCCAGGCTGCAGCAAAGTCGGATTGTGCAGAGGAGTCATCTGGTTCCAGTGGTCTTGTCCCAATTGCCATCTAGGTGACGTGGTCTTTGCTGGGGATCTGTCTCTGGGGCACATCTAGTTGACATCATCTCCACTGACATTCAGGGCTGTAGGGGTTGTCTTTAAGTGCTGCTCCACCATCTGGACTGGTTCCTGGTTCCGGTTGACCTAATTAATGCATCTTAAAGGGATAGTTCACCCAAAAATGAAAATTCTGTCATTAATTACTCACCCTCGGTAAGACCTTCGTTCATCTTCGGAACACAAATTAAGATATTTTTGATGAAATGTGAGAGCTCTCAGACCCTGCATAGACAGCAACGCAACTGTAATGTTCCCAGGTCCAGAGATGTAGTAAGGACATCGGTAAAACAGTCCATGTGACATCAGTGGCTCAACTTCAGTATTGCGAAGCTGCGAGAATACTTTTTGAGCGCAAAGAAAACAAAAATAACAATTTATTCAACAATTCTTCTCCCCCGAGTTACGTCTTCCGCCATTTTAGAGTATCACAACACATATGCACACTTTCCCCTAAGCATAAAACACGCTGATTACGCAGATTACGTTCATGCACACGCTTTCTTCTCCGAATGTAAACAACACTGATTACGTTGATTACGCTCTTGGGTACTCTCCAAAATGGAGGAAGACGTAACTCATTTGGGGTGAACTAACCCTTTAACAATCCTTTAATGGATTTCAATAATATAAATGTGTTAGTGTGTTATGTGTAAACCAGGTTAAAGAGATGGGTCTTTAATCTAGATTTAAACTGACAGACTGTGTCTGCCTCCCGAACAAAGTTAGGTAGATTGTTCCAGAGTTTGGCCACTAAATCGTAAAAGGATCTGCCACCCGCAGTTGATTTTGCTGTTATCAAATGGCCAGAGTTTTGAGAATGCAGCGGGCATGAAGGACTGTAATGCAATAAGAACTCACTCAAGTACTGAGGAGCTAAACCATGCAGGGCTTTATAAGTAATTAGCAAGATTTTGAAATCTATACAATGTTTAATATGGAGACAGTGCAGTGTTTACAGAACCGGGCTAATATGGTCATACTTCCTGGTACCAGTAAGAACTCTAGCTGCTGCATTTTGGACCAGCTGGAGTTTGTTTATTAAGTGCGCAGAGCAACTACCCAATAAAGCATTACAATAATCCAACCTTGAGGTCATGAACGCATGAATTAACGTTTCTGCATTTGACATTGAAAGCATAGGTCGTAATTTAGATATATTTTTAAGATAGAATAATGCGGTTTTACAAATTTGGCTTTTGTATGGGGGTAGAATCGTTGCATAATTCCAAATAAATACATTATGATCCACAAATAAATGTAAAGAGATTAACAAAAATAAAATGTATTGATAAATAAATAGAATGAGATCCACAAATAAATCTTAGAGTTTCACAAACAAGAATTAAATTCACACACAAAATAAAATGAGATTTGCAAATAAAAAACATATTCACAGATATATTTTTATGTCACAAACACAACTTTGCCTGGCATTCATTTGTGAATCGCGTCCTGTGCATTTGTAGATCGCTGCATGCATTTGTGGATAGCTCCCTGTGCATTTGTAAATCGTTGCGCTTATTTGTGGATTTTGAGACATTTCAAGCGTCAAGAGGCAAACCAATCCACAAATGGATGGACTCCACCTCCTTCTACTTAAGCCAATCAGATACCGGTCACGTGGCGCTGACCAATTGTAGCGTGTTCTCGCTCCAACCAATCCCGTTTTGCCTTACAATCAGTGTGGGACCAGGCACCAAACACGCTATTCTGGCTAATTAACCGCTTCAAAATGGATGATCAGGACAGTTTAAGACAGGTAAGTGGTGTTAAATTAACAACAACGAGCAAAAATTTAACATGGTTGTTGCTATGCTCATATTTATGGTGATGGCGAGGGGACCTGTTCGGTTCACTTAATTTTGTCATGGCCACGTCATATTAACTCGTGGGAACGTCATATGTCGTGGCCACGAGATTATTTTGTATTGAGAGGACATACTGGACCCATCTCTCCTCAACGACTTCCACCAGGCTCATCCAGACCGCCCTGCTCCCAGGAGCCGCGGTCGTCCTCGCCGTCAATCTCGGGCGTGGGGGGGGGTAATGTCACGGAAACACCTGCCTCACCAGCCGAATCAGCCTCCTACACCCGCTCACAATCACCTGATTACTGATCACGGACACCTGCACCCACTTACCACACCACTCAAATACTCACTCACCTCATTCACTCATCGACTGGTCTCAAGGTTGCAAGCTATTCTGTCCTGGTTCCTCGTCTTCCAGTCTGCCTGTTCCCCTCGGAATCCTCAGTTCTCGGCCGAAGGATCGGAGTGCCGACCCAGATAAGACTGTGTTTTGCTTCCCTTACTGCCTATGTTGAACTCTTTTTGGTTGGAAGCCTCTCTTAAGTTCCTGTGATTAAACTCTCTGCTTAACGTTATCCTGCCTGTCTGCCTCTTTGTCCTGGTTGTGACACATAGCATCTCGTGGCCACGATATAAGGATTACCTCGACAAAAGGATCTCGTGGCCAAGACATAATATGACGTTCCCACGAGTTAATATGTAACTGTCCTGATCGTCCATTTTGAAGCGGTTAATTAGCCAGAATAGCATGTTTGGTGCCTGGTCCCACACTGATTGTAAGGCAAAACGTGATTGTTTGGAGCGAGAACACGCTACGATTGGTCGGCGCTACGTGACCGGTATCTGATTGGCTTAAGTAGAAGGGGGGTGGAGTCCATCCATTTGTGGATTGGTTTGCCTCTTGACGCTTGAAATGTCTCAAAATCCACAAATAAGCGCAACGATTTACAAATGCACAGGGAGCTATCCACAAATGCATGCAGCGATCTACAAATGCACAGGAGGTGTGTAATTCACAAATTAATGCCAGGCAAAGTTGTGTTTGTGACATAAAAATATATCTATGAATTTTTTATTTGCAAATCTCATTTTATTTTTTGTGTGAATTTAATTCTTGTTTGTGAAACTCTAAGATTTATTTGTGGATCTCATTCTATTTATTTATCAATACATTTTATTTTTGTTAATCTCTTTACATTTATTTGTGGATCATAATGTATTTATTTGGAATTATGCAACGATTCTACCCCCATACTTTTGAAGGGAAGATCGCTATCAAATAGCACACCTACGTTATTACGTAACTGATGATAAAAAACTGACAGAGCAACCATCGTGTGTTAAACAGTGTTCTAGGTCATTACTTGCAGAGGTTTTAGGCCCTATTATTAACACCTCTGTTTTTTTTCCAGAATTTAGCAGTAAGAAATTACTAGTCATCCAGTTTTTTTTTATTAACTATGCATTCCGTTAGTTTTGCAGAGCGGATTATCATCAGCAAGTCTCTTTTAAAGAGATAGAACTTCAGGGCTGAACTGTAATTTCAGAGCACAAGACATTAATAATTCATAATTGTTGGTAATAATTCAGAAATAAATGTAACAACATATGGCTGTCTAAAATCCTGCTAATTAAGCCAATAATTTATCTCTCTTTGTGCTTTTATTTATTTTCATTTTTTCCCCATTTATTTTATTATATTTAAAGAAAAAATATGGTTGACCACTTTTGTTCATGAACCTCTTTTTCCAATCTGCTTTCCAAATATCATCTGTGCTGTCATAATAACCTTCCCATTAATTCACAAACTCTCCTTCAAAACCACACACTTACAACCAGAATCAGATGCTGTGGCTTATATCCTGTGTGTAAAGCATAATCTTCTGTACATGTGACTTGTGTGTGTTTGTATACTTTGTTTTCCTGCAGACTTTTCTGTGCAAGCACATATGGAATTCCAAACCAGAAATAACACCAAAACTCAATACAAGGCCAAGTGTTTAAAGTATGCTTTAATCTAAAAATATATTTACATTGTTGATATATAATATACAAAATGTAACGTCTGGTATGCAGGGTATCTTTTCTACACAAGATCCCTGAGTTCTCTATACACTTTCTATAAGTGGTCAGTATAATAACTGATAAATATGCCCACATAGAATAAATTTTTCCTGGTTAATGCACTGATTTTGTGGATTCTGTGGACTATTATTAGCTAAAACTGAGTAATGGCACTATTGTTTGTTAGCAGAGAGTATTAGCAATCAAAATACGAAATAAACAAACACACAAGTGTTGTTAACGATATATTCTGTGAAGTTTTCCATGGAATTCTGCGGGCTCAGATTCCATGCAAGTCTTCTGATAAACAGCATACTTTGATCTTTAAACATATAACAAAAGATGTTTAAGTGGAATGTTTCTGGTTAATGCATTAATCTTAAGGCCAAAGTATACTTAGATTTTTACATATGTGCAGTATGCGTACAGTGTGTGTGGTGTAAATTGCATCAGCAGCATAGTACATGCATACTGTATGTTCAGCCAGATTTTTCTAACCACACATACTCTGAATGCTTAGCTCATACATGCACCTTAATGTTTTTTTCATAGTTGGCAACACTGGCCCAGCCTTTCGTTTTACAGTTGAAAAATAATGGAGACGGCAGTAACAATAATAATATATGCCATTATTGATGAGAACTTTTGAGAGTAGGGATGGGCATTTCAAGCAAAAATAATATTCGAAGATCGCTGTGAATTCTTAAATTATTATTCGGAAATCGCACCCCTTCCCCGCATGCACACACGCACGTATAGGCTACACAGCCATAAACAGAGAGAGAGGGAGAGAGAACATTCATGCTTTCAATCTGTATAATAAACAGTTTAATTAATTAGAAGATAGGCTATCTTAACTCAAGCCATATAATGATGGTAGCATGCTGAAAAATGTAATATAATAAACATAACTGAATGACTGCACTTATTAACATAACAGTCCGTCGATTAGCATAAATCAACCGCTCATAAGGCTAGGTCATTTCCATTAAAAAATGGAGCCCCTAAAGGGAATAAATACGAGATGGGAGGAAAAAATATATTTCAATACTTTCTCTCGCAAACATGGGAACTTTTTAAAACAATAATCGCACAACCTATTTGATATTCGATAATTAAATTAACTAATCGAATATTTGAAAATCGTGACCCATCCCTATTTGAGAGGGGTTAAAAGAAACCTGCAACTCTAGTTTAAATGACTGGAAATAGTGCGGACACTGAACACAAATTAAACTAGTGAATTTGTGTTTAGTGCAAGTATTCATGTAAGTTAACAAAAGAAAAGAAAAAGAAACGTGTTCAACTTTATACGCATACACTAGCGATCACATCAAAACTGAATTATACTTCGAACTTAATGAACTCTGTACACGACTGTTATTGTCAAAGTTACTTAAAAACTTTAATTTTTAAAATTTAAAATTTAAAATTAAATTTTTTTAATGTCCTGGAATATAGTTGGCAGTCCTCATTGTTGAAGTTATTGCGGTGTCATATGGTGAACGTACTCGTGTCTTCATTGTCCGACGAAGAGTGAGTGTGAGTTTGTGTGCCTGACTTAAGGGAGATCTCGACAGTGGGCTGTTCATTGCCATGGCGGTACCCTCTTCCTGTCTGCCCGCAGCGCTTGACAAGCTTCAGAATGTGCATTTTGAAGGATGAGCCAATAAAGACATAGAGCACAGGATTCAGGCAGCAATGCGTGAGGGCCAGACTTTCAGTGATTTGATTGGCCCGGTCAAGGTTTTTGCTCACCTCACATTCTGTCACTAAAATGTAGATCACATCCAGGGCTCTGACTAATTTTACCACATTATAGGGGAGCTGGGTCAACAGAAACACACCTACTACTGCTATCAAAACCCGAAATGCCCGCCATCTCCTTCCACCACGTACGCCCGCTGTTGCGGCTTGACCCAACACAATTCCAACCCTGCAATAACAGAACATCATCACCAGGAAAGGCAGAAGAAAGCTCAGAGACACTTCCAGAATTTCCAGAGTTGCTTTAGCTGCCCGCGCCATGCTGTGTGGGTAAACTGCCCGGCAGGCATTACGCCCAATCGAGTGCTGCTTCTTCACCGTGTAGAACACCATATCTGGCAATCCGAGGACAATGGCAAGTCCCCAAACCATGAGGCACATGATTATCCTCTGCCTGCGGGCGTTGCTCCTGGCTGGGGCGTTGGCGGTGGTGGAGCCTCTGGCTAGCGCACGATAGCGGTCTATGCTAATGCAGGCCAGCAGCAGCATGCTACAGCTGAAGTTAGTGGTGTAGAGAGCTGAAGTGATCTTGCAGGCGGCTGTGCCAATCTCCCAGCCATTCACTGCATCCGCAGCCCAGAAGGGCAGTGTGAGGAGCAGGAGGAGGTCTGCGAACGCCAGGTTGAGGATGAAAACGTCCGTCAGCGTCCGTAAGCGTTTGTGGGAAAGGTAAATTAAGATGACCAGCGAGTTTCCTGCCAGGCCCAGGATCAATGCTAGGGTGTAGACGACTGGCAAAAAGACCCCAGCAAAAGACCGGACCTCTTGTTTGTCGCAGACTGTGTGGAAGTCAAAATCCTTGTCATCATAGTCACTGTGGTTGGAACTATTGTCATGGTCATGATAATGATAGTCATGTTCGTAATCCAAAAGGACACTCATCATGATCTAAAGAGAGAAAGAAATGTAAACATTAATGATGCTAGATTTCATTGGGGTTTTTTTACGCTCAGAAAAAAAAGCAAAAATTGTACACTGAAAAAAAAATGATGTAAAAAAAAAATCACTCAGATATTGCTAGTAAATTTTTACAAATAATTGCAAAAAAAAAGTTTCCTGCCAGGCCCAGGATCAATGCTAGGGTGTAGACGACTGGCAAAAAGACCCCAGCAAAAGACCGGACCTCTTGTTTGTCGCAGACTGTGTGGAAGTCAAAATCCTTGTCATCATAGTCACTGTGGTTGGAACTATTGTCATGGTCATGATAATGATAGTCATGTTCGTAATCCAAAAGGACACTCATCATGATCTAAAGAGAGAAAGAAATGTAAACATTAATGATGCTAGATTTCATTGGGGTTTTTTTACGCTCAGAAAAAAAAGCAAAAATTGTACACTGAAAAAAAAATGATGTAAAAAAAAAATCACTCAGATATTGCAAAAAAACCCACATTGAATTAAACATGACATTTTGAAGTAAAAAGACTGAAATAGTATTCTCTTGTAAAATGTAAAAACTTATTTTTCATGTATTTTTCACCAGCTAAAATGATTCAGTTTAACCTTAATAAATTGTGGAATTCTTTATCTTTGGTTTGATGGTAGTAATTTATGTTAATTATTCTGGACATTATTCGGATCAGCCACAATATTGCTGGTCATTCCAAATCTATTTCTATTTAGTGGTAAAACCGCTGATCTACTCTAAGGTAATATGCATCTTGAGATTAGGTAAAGTTGTCCCTTTAAAGTTATTGCCGCATCCCCTTGTACCTCCTAAAGGTACAGTTTTTGCAAATTTTTTTCTTGTGTAAAATGTAAAAAAGAAAAAAAAGAGGATCATTAACTAACTTTGCTTTGCAATTGGACATGTGCTGCCTTCAAGCCATGTCAGAATAATCGGATTTTACGAGATTGGTGTGCATGAACAGCACTACGATGTTGAGCAATTTTCTCCTAGCCCCCTACTTTCTGAGACAGTGTCATTTTGGTTTGGCAGAAGCAATTGTATGGTAACAAAGTTGTGAAAATTGGCACACAAATAGAGGGCAGTCTGAACATTAAACGCATCAATTTTAGAGTCTGTAACTCAATCACTGTAGTGCCGACAACTATCCAAATTTGCACTTGTGTATGTTAATAACTTTTGTTTGAACCGTAAGGGCTAGAAACCAGTGTTTCCTTGGTTCCTTGGTATTTGTTTAAGAAAGTTTTAATTATGAATTTTGATGGTTCAGTTTAGTTTGTATGCTGTTGATGATGACTAACTATAGCTGCTTATTTAGCTGGTCTACTGACTTGTGTGACAAAAAATGTCTTCTAAAGAATCTCTTACACACAGAATGTGCCTTTCATTTTGTTGTGTTAGAGCTAAAAAAATTGCTCACATCCATTTGTTTCCAACAAGAATGGCTTTAAACATCCTTTACAGTTACAAAAACTCTGAAATAGAAGTAGGATCTTTCCTACTTCATGTTTGTTTTAGACTCTGAGAGGGCAAAATGGTTTTTACATCGTGTGTTTAGCAGATGCTATCCAAAGCAACTTAAAAAAGGAACAAAAGCAATTCGTCAATTTTTTTTTTTTTACCAATTGTAGAAAATATATAAATATATTGAAGAAAAATAATATGTTATTATAAAAATGTACAATCTAATACAGTATATTTTATCTGCATTCAGTTTAGGTTATTTTTATTGTAGAAAAAAGGTCAATTGTTTTTTTAGAAACAGTTTTTCTACATTACAAACTTGTTTTCATGGGAATGGGCATTTATTTAGCAAATTAGCAAATATTCTGAATTATGGGATTTGTAGGTTATCTTAATAAGATTCAGCACCTTAAAATTCACATCTGTTTATAATAATGTCTGCATAATGTTGTTAGACTCTGCACAGCCAAACAACTACAAAATGATTTTATTTTAGATGTCTGTGCATACTTTATCTTTTTAATTTACTCATTCATTTGATTGCTGATTCAATGTGTCATCTGTGCTTTGTTCTGACTAACTTTATCTTGAATGTTACTTAGTAATTTCTTCCATATCGTCATTCTCACTTAGTGGTCCAGAGGTTCTTGTTTGAGATCATACACAACTCAACACAGAAACCGAAAACTCTGTGTTGACTGAATCATTCGAGCAGCTTGCAGTGTTGTTGTCTATTTCACCATATACAGTAGCTTATGAAATCATTTAAAGTAAATAAAAGTGTATGGGCAGCTTTTTGGCACTTGAGCTTTGGACGTATTGTAAACTTAGTAGCTTTGCTATAGTTTGTCTGGATTGAAGGGGAGTTTATTTAACCCTGAACTCTTTTAGGTGAAGGTCTAGAAATGCTCACTTTTGGTCGTTCTCATTGTTTGCATATCTAAACCACACATCTTTGACTTTTGTCAGCTGCTCATGTGGAGTTCCACATAACACTGAGTGTACCTGCCAATCTGTTAAACACATGCTTGTTTAATAGAGGCACTGAGTGGAGCTGATTTTGTCTTTCTGGGTGAAAAGCAAACCAGCTGTTAAAAGATCTATAGCTGATGCAGATTGCCTGCTTTTTGTACTTGTTTATTGTCTATTCATATTTACCATGTCAATTCATTTTTCTATGCTACTTAAAAAGAACCAGAAAGTTGGAATAACATTCCAAATGTTTAAAACATCAGTCAAAAACTATTCAAAAATGTCCTAGTGATTAATTATGAACTGCACATTTCTTCCGGAAAAGCCGCTGTTTAGGATGGAACTTTTTCCTCTTGTGGAAAGCTTTTGGCACCTGTTTTTGAAATTCTGATGAATAACAACATATTCATCCACGTCAACATTTTTTTTTTTTTTTTTGGCTGTACAAAATTTCCGAACATTATTCTTTTGTTTTGCTGACATTTTAAATTTGACTGCACATTTTAAACTTCATAATATACCAATAGACTAATACACTACTAAAGCATTTTTATGACAAAATGCATATACTTTATTTGGATTGTATTTGAATTTGCATTGTTGCAGTTGCTAAATAAATATTTAATGCAAACATCAGCAGACAATATATGAATTTAAATGGATAATTCACCCAAAACTGAAAATTCTGTCCTCATTTACTTACCCTCAAGTTGTTCCAAACCTGTATGAATTTCTTTCTTCTGCTGAACACAAAAGAAGATATTTGAAGAAAGTTGGTATCCAAACCATTGCTGGTCCCCATTGACTTTCTTTGTTTGGAGAAAAAAATTGTATGGAAGTCAAAGGGGACCAGCAAATGTTTGGTTACCCACATTCTCTCGGGGCAGTCGTGGCCTAATGAATAGAGAGTCGGACTTGTAACACGAAGTTCGCGGGTTCGAGTCTCAGGTCCCCCAGGGATTTTAGATGGCGGGAGTGAATAACCAACACTCTCGCCACCTTCAATACCACGACTGAGGTGAGACCCTTGAGCAAGGCACCGAACCCCCAACTGCATTGACTGCCCACTGCTCCGGGTGTGTGTGCATGCGTGTTCACTTCTCACTGCTGTGTGTGTGCACTTGGATGGGTTAAATGCAGAGCACAAATTCCAAGTATGAGACACCATACTTGGCCACACGTCATTTTTTTTTTTTTTTTTTTTTTTTTTTTTTTTAAATATATATATTTTTTTGTTTGTTTGTTTTTTTGTATTCAGCATAAGAAAGAAATTCATACAGGTTTGGAAGAAACTGAGGGTGAGTAAATCATGACAGAATTTACATTTTTGGGTGAACCACAAGCATCCAAGTGTAGTTCATTACATTAACAACAAACATGTTCTGTTAACAAGTGTTTTATTCTATTCTATATACGTTTGTATACAGTTTGTTTCAAAAGTTACAGTTTAACTGTTACTGCAGAAAGTATGTCTGAGGCTTTAGGCATGGAAAAAGGTGATCTATTGTTCTTATTCTTGAATCCATGACAGAATTTGTATTGTTGTATTGTATTACTTTAGTCTATTATGGAGCTCAGGGTATGTTACACCCTTTTATCCTGTCACTTTAACACTGTACAGGTAAACCCTTATTCCATTCTGCTTTCTCACTATCATACAGAAACAAGTTTTTTTTTTTGCAAACACATTTTTTCATAGTCATATTTAAAATGTGTTCCTGAAATGTGTTTATTTTGAACTTTACCTTCCCTGTCATAAACCCATTTTGAAGATCGGTAAGCAGGACTTTGCCTTGACTAAATAGATGACAGTGAAGGAAACTAACTGCAAAAGAAATCCAACTAAAAAAATCTAAATACTGACTAAAAAGCATAGTAAATGTCCATTACCATAATTCAGCGTATGTTGTAACTTTGTTGGGAAATTGTTTGCTGTATTCTTAATCCAGTGTTTACTTTCAATGATGATTCTGTAAAGTTATGCCTGTCCCCTGTGTTGTTGTGACACAAAGTGATCAAAACCCTTGACTTTGAGTTACCCGCAGTTTTGATGTTAATGTGAAATGCAAATGCAGCAGTGTGTCTTACCTCTGTAGCGTCTGAGTCACACTCTGTCCTGGAAAGAGCTGCCTTCAACCTAGAGAAGTGAAACACTCTGTTGATAATTGCAGATGGGGCAAGAGGACGGCCATGGGTGTGTGTTTGAGTGTGCGTCAGAGGAAACTATTTGTAGAGGAGAGAGAGAGAAAGGAGGCGAAAAGAGTGCAAGAAAATAAAGATTAACCTCCTCTTGCAGGTTACAGAGACCCTCTCTGTGTTTTCCTGATAATCTTCAAGCGGAAGAATTTCGGTATAAACAAGACACAACACAACACAACACACAACACACAACACAACACAACACAACACAAGAGGTTGTTTTAAACTATATTTTAATAAGTAGTTTACATGTATGATGGATACTTTATGCAGTCCAACTCCAAAAGAAAATAAACAAATATATTTTTTCTGTATATAAATGCGTACTTATCTAATGTTAATAATGT